CGCCCCGCCGTCGCCCCCAGCAGCGCGCCGCCGCGTCCAGCAGCCTCCTCTTCCCTTCTCTCCATCCCGAAAGGTCCATCCCGACGGTATTCGACGCGAGACCCAGCAGCTGCGATCCACACCACGTCTTCCTCTTCTCTTCACCAGGCAGCAACCGCCGGCCGCCGCTTCTTGAAGCCAACGGCAGGGTTCGCTGAGCTCAAGCTCGAAAGACGAAACCCGTGACCCTAAGGCAGACCCCTGTCTTCCTCTTCTCTTCTCTTCACCAGCAGCATAGTAGCATGTGAGATTCTAATTGTTTGTGAGAAGTAGCATGTGTGATTGTGTGAATTAGATGACTTAGATGATTGAATATAGAGCTCACTTCAGTTTGTAATGCATACGACATTATTTAGTCTACTAATACATATAATATGCATCAAGCAGCAACTGCTCTGCATATCTTTTAGTGTTAGAAGAATCTTTATACCTTAACTCCTTAAGCTTATGAACCAAGGGAATTTAAATGGTCCCTAATAACTTCTTCTCTCTGTCGGGCTAATGCAGTACAAGTTGGCCACTCCAATCTTCTTCGCTCATGTTAGTGTCTCTGTTAGGGACAACATTGTATGTAGAACGAGTGACATTTAGAGAAAATAGGTTGGTTTCGCTGCAGCTAGTTATGCATTATGGTTTTGGGTATGCATTACAAACTATTCGGTATACCGGTATTAATACCGGATACCGACTATTCGGTATTTGGTATACCGGATAACATTCGGTATCGGTATTCGGTGGGTACACTGTCTGTTTCCGGTATACCGAATACCGGTTAATCGGTATCCGGTACCGGATACCGACCTATTACCAGCCCTAGTGGAGAAGATCAACATGTTGAGGATGTTTCTGATGAGCTAGAAACATCAGAGTCCAGTGCGGGAGCTAAACAGTCTATAGCTTACGGTAGACTGAAGAGAGCGACTGTTGGAGTACCTCCACAGAGGTATGGCTTTGAGGACATGGTGGCGTATGCTGTGGATACGGGTGAACCATAGTCCTACAAAGAAGCAGTTTCGTGTGGCGAAGCCGCGCAGTGGCTTGCTGCAATGGGGGATGAGACGAAATCCCATGACAGGAATCAGACTTGGGAGTTGGTCAAACGTCCACAGGGGATGAAGATTGTTACAAACAAATGGATCTACAAGAAGAAGAAGAAGGAAGGAATCACTTTTGAAGAGGGCATTAAATTTAAAGTTCGGGTAGTTGCAAGAGGCTTCTCGCAGAGGGAAGAAGTTGACTACAACGAGATTTTCTCACAGTGGCCAGACACACTTCGATCAGGGTGTTGTTAGCAATAGTGGCACATTTGACTTGGAACTCGAGCAGCTAGACGTGAAGACAGAATTTCTACATGCAGAGTTGGAGGAAGAAATTTACATGACTCAGCCAGAAGGATTCCGGGTTCAGGAAAATAAGACTATTTTTGTAAGATGAAGAAGTCCTTGTATGGACTTAAGCAATCTCCGAGGCAATGGTACAAGAGGTTTGACAGCTACATGCTTGAGTTGGGCTACAACAGAAGTACCTATGATTGTTCTGTATATCACAACAAGGCAATGAATGGTTTCAATGATATATCTAGTTATGTATGGTGGATGATATGCTCATAACTACGAGGTCGAAGTCTGATATCCAGAGGGTAAAGGGGATTCTTAGTGCTACATTGAGATGAAGGATTTCGGAGCTGCTCAAAAGATTTTGGGTATAGAGATTTACATGGATAGGTCAAAGAAGAAGCTTTTCTTGTCACTGAAGATCTACATCCAGAAGATACTGTCCAGGTTTGTCATGTCTTCCGCAAAGCCCTTGAATACTCCTAGTGCTTCGAATGTTCATCTATCCCCACTTTATGCACCACAGTCAAAGGATGAGAAGGAGTACAAGTCGAGAGTCCCATATTGCTAGTGCAGTTGGTAATTTGATGTACGCTATGGTATGCAGTAAACCTGATCTTGCACATGTTGTTAGTGTTGTTAGCAGGTTTATGATAAAACCTAGAAAGGAGCATTGGCAAGCTGTGAAGAGGATTTTCCGATACCTAAGGGTACATCTGATGTGGGGATTAGCTTCGGAAGTGATACAGAGTGCTTAGTGGCTAGTTTATTCCGATTCTGACTATGCTGGAGATGTTGACACCGAGAAGATCGATGGTCGGTTATGTACTCACTCTTGCGAGTTCTGTAGTGAGCTGGAAGACAACTCTGCAGCCGACTGGTGACATTTTCTACTACTAAGGCAGAGTATATGGTGTTGAAAGAAGCTGCTAAGGAGGGAATATGGTTGAAGGGACTGGTTGGTGATATGGGTCTACATCATGATCATGAAGTGGTGTATTGCAACAGTTTGAGTGCAATATGCTTGGCCAAGGATCAAGTCCATCATGAGAGGACTAAACATATCGATGTGAGGTATCATTTCTTGAGGACAGAGAGGGATTAAGATGAAGAAGGTTGGCACCGCGGATAACCCTGCTGACATGTTCACGAAGCCGGTTCCACATGGCAAGTTCCAACATTGCTTGGACTTGTTGAATTTCTTGAGTGGATGAATCCGCCCTATGGGGCATTGATGGCAGGAGGGAGAGAAAGATCAAAGTACATCAGAGATTTCAGAGGAAGAGGATTCAAGTCAAGGTGGAGATTTGTTGATGTGACTTGAATCAGACTATCAGTCGCTACGAATGGAAGTCACGGGGGTTTCGCTGGTATTGGGGCATCGCCCTCGGCCCATGGTGTATGGGCTCAATGTTATTTGGGTTCGGGTTCTAGGCTTGGTTGTAATCCGCTTTTCCTTTACCAAATTGGATTAGGGTTAGACTTAGGAGAAGTACTATAAATACTTCCCATACTCCTCTGCAATCTGTATCTCCTTGAATTACAGTGAAACTAGCTCTGTCCTGCCTGTGGACTAGCTAATACACATTTGTGTTAGTGAACCACGTAAATCGTGTATTGTGTGTGCTTTCGTTTTCTTGCTTTGTCGAATCCTCCAATTTCCCGATCTGCAGAAGCAACAGTCGTGACAAGTGGTATCATAGCCTAGTTCGATTCGGGGCAGTGGACATCAGTTTGGTGGGACCCTCATTCGGTGACCTCAGATTTTGAGATCTGCGTCAATTTGGTGGATCTAGGAGAGATCCAGGTTTGGGTTTGCCAAATCAAAGAGAGTTTTGTATATGGGAAGCAGATCAAAGAGAGTTATGCGTTTGGAAAAATCATGTACTAAGAAGCCCATCGATATAAGGTGTCCGGCAGATCAAGATAATCCCTGAGGTGAGGACACGAAGTTCGCGGACGTTGTCTTGAGGGGAGGATTCAAGTTGTAACTGCTGATAGTTCGATTCAAGTCACATCAATAGAGCGCTTTGCTGTCTATGCTATTCTGGTGAGGTGGTTCTCCCTTTTTTGTAACTGAGCATGTTAGACAGACGACTGGGGGGTCTCCCTCGTAAGAGGAAGCCAGAGAGTGTAGGAGCTTAAGATACAAGAGTGGAGGGAATTGGAATTGATTGAGTGTGGGAGCTTAGAATTTTATGGTATCAAGGAATGAAAATATTATTTTTTTGTCTCCTATAATCTGGTCTAGATGTCGATTTGATTCAGTGTAGACCAATCTGTTTCACTACTTCCTCTTTCTGAATCCAAATCATTCCACCATTAAAAATAAAAATCCAATTAATTCCCCATTATTACCACAATGAGAGAAAACAATTGCATTCAATTTAATGACCACTAAGCCAAAACAACTGGAATGTATGCCTAAAATCTCGATCACTAAATTGCGAAATAAGTTTGATATCCACTCAATGAATAAATACACTTGAATAACTTGAGCTTGATAAAAATTTAAAAAAAAATTCACATTAGAGAAAATTTGTGCACCAAAAAAAATGCTATTTACACTACTAAAAAGCTGTGAACCAAAAAAAAAATAATAAATAAAATTCTATCATAAAAGACGAGGGAAAAGCTTCGTATTTTTAGAATATTTAACAACTCCGAGTATTGAGAAACATTGACTAACATTTTCTCCCTCCTCCCCTTCTCCTCTTCTTCCCTTTCTTATTCTCCCTCACATTATAAAAACATAAGTCTCATCTTCCATCAAGAGTAAGAAAAAAATTCAAATAAACAGCAAAAGCAGTATAGGGGTCAATTCCCCACACAATAATTTAACAAAAAATTGTAAGGAAAAACCCGACTTTTTCATCGAAGTATCTACAAATAAAAACCTTAATCACATATAAAACAAACAGAAACCCAACCAACTTTTATCCCATTTGTTCCATTATCTTCTCCTCTTTGTTAAGAATGGGCGATGAAACAACAATAAGAGGAAGATAATAACGAAGAAGATGGTCATAACGGCCTTCTCTTCCATCCTCTTAGTTGCCATGGGGTTCTTTGCGGGTGTTGCTTATAGCAACAACAAGATCTCTAAAGAAACCGACATCTCCACAACCAGTCGAGTTGACAGTGCTGCGCCTGCAGGGCCTGTGCCACAAGTCATACAAGACTTATGCGCCCCATCCCTCATAAAGGATTATTGTCAATTCCGAAATGATGAAATATGGGGGTACCATGACCGACCCTAAAGAGTTGGTAAAGCTAAGTGTGCAACTAGTATCCCATTCTTTGCAACTTGCACTGAAGGACGCCCGAGCCCCTAAAGGCGACCACTATGGAGCCCATGGCAAAGCGGGCCTTGGAGATCTGCGACATCAAGATCAATACCGCTATGGGAGACCTAAACCGATCTGTGACTGAGATAGACAAGTTCGAGCCTGCCACGGGTGAGAAGCAGATCGACAACTTGAAAACTTGGATTGAGGCTACCCTCACCTTTCAGGAGGTCTGCATCGACGCGTTCTCTAATATCACTGGCCCCGACGGCCACAAGATGAGGATGATCCTGCAACTTTCTGGCATGGCAGCCTGCAATAGCATGGCCGTAATTGAGGGATGGACAAAATTACTGGAGAAGACCAACCCGTTCCTGGGGCAGCACACCGAAGGCTTCTTGGAGGTGGAGCGTCGAATAAGAATGATTTCCCTGAGTGGGTTTCACCGACCCAGAGGAAGTTGTTGCAGGCGACGCCAAGTAACATTAAACCGGACATTGTTGTGGCTCAGGATGGGAGCGGGCAATTCAAGACTGTAAATGAAGCCATCAAGAGCATTGGGCCCAACTATAAAACCCCCTTCGTTATCTATATCAAGGCTGGGGTTTATAATGAGCAAGTCATTGTTCCAAACGCGCTTAGTGGGATTATGTTTATCGGTGACGGCCCGACAAAGACTAAAATCACCGGCAACAAGAATTATAAGGAGGGGTATCATACCCAAGATACCCCCACGGTTGGTACGTATTTGATTTGATCCATATGCATCTAGTAAGACTTCATTTGGCAGTCTCGATTGGATACTAACGCTCGTTAATTTCTCATCTTGTGAACAGCGATAATGGCCCCAGGATTCATGGCCAAAGACATGGGGTTCGAGAACACAGCTGGGCCTGAAGGCTTCCAGGCCGTCGCTTTTCTCTCTCAATCCGATTACTCTGTCTACTACAACTGCCAATTCGATGGCTACCAAGACACCCTATGCCCTCTAGCCTATCGTCAATTCTACCGTGATTGTGTCATCTCTGGTACCATCGATTTCATCTTTGGTGTCGCTCGCACCGTCATCCAGGGCGGCACCCTTGTTGTCAGGAAGCCCATGGATAACCAGCAAAACGTCGTGACTGCAGAGGGTCGTCAGGACCCCAATGGTGTGTCAGCAATCGTAATCATGAACAGTCACATCACGGCCGACCCGGCCTACTTGCCCGTCAAGAACCAATTCCCGACATACTTGGGGCGCCCGTGGAAGAATTTCTCTAGGACCGTGATCATGCACACCGTGATCGACGACATAATCACCCCCGCGGGGTGGGTCCCGTGGGATGCGCGGTGGGGGCTTGACACTCTCTACTATGCGGAGTTTGAGAACACGGGCCCTGGTTCCAACACGCAAGGCCGAGTCACTTGGCCTGGGATTAAGCACATTACACCGCAAGAGGCCGAGCAATTTACCCCGGTTAAGTTTTATGCCGAAGGCGATAGTTGGATCAAGGATGCTAATGTACCCTACACTGCCGGAATGTCGTAACTATTATTAACCAATTTTGAAAGGAAAAAAATTTGAAAAATTGTTTTATTTTATTGATTTCTTATTTGGGTGATGTAGAAAAAAAGAGGTAAAGAAGTTTTTTTTTTTTTTTGCATGGTGGTGATTAAATTGATCGTCATCATGGAGTGGATCGAAGGTATAACAGGTGATCATATGTATTATTTTATTTTTGAATTCATAGTCTTGGACTCATATGAGCTAATAAAAGGGAAATTTTGTATTTATAGTATTTCTAATTTTTATATAAATTTGTTACCTTTGAGGGGTTGTTGATATTTGATAATATTAATAGGTTAACACTTAACATTACTTTGTGATTCTGAACTTTCTTCCTCTTGTGATCTTCACTCTTTAGTCTTCGGCGTTAAAATTAGTCTCATTTGGTTGAGAGGTAACTTGGTTTCCTCAGTTATTGAAGTTTGCTCAGAATTTTATACTTGATGTGTACAAGCAAAGTTCATATAAATTATTTGCTTGGTGGACAATGAAATATGGTATCCTTTCCTGAGCAAGGATATTTATTTTCTTTTTAGATTTATAAAGACAATGTAGTCATTTCTCCCGGTATGTAAATAGTTACCATGGTCATTATTGAATCAATTAAGTTTAAATTATATTAACCATGAAATAAAATATTTTAACCGAATCGATTACATTTTTTGTGTGGAAAACATAGCGCGTAGGGGCGCTCTAACCCTTAAGTATTAATAAAGCGGGGGATTGGACCCCAATACTGTTGAAGTACAACCAATAACTCAGAGTATGACTCGGATTCTGGAAAACATGAACCCCCTACAGATAGTGAATGGCCAAAAGAGGCCAAAAAAGCAGCAACAACGTTGTGTTCACGAAAGACGTGGATAATCTGTACTTCCCAGTCAAGCTGCAACAATCTTCTATCGACAGCCACCAAGGCGTTGTACGGATTGAAATCGGGAGCTGACCTGATTAATTGGACTGTCGTGGCGGAATCTGTTTGCACTACTACCTTTCTCAGGCCTTGATCCCCAAGCAAGCTTTGACTATGTTTGATCCTGGCTAACTTAGCGTGTGTTATAAACCTCCTCCAAGGTTAATAGCAAAAGCTTTTGCGAAACTCTCATCATCTCTTACACCTGTCTCCGAAATTGCTAGATATATTTTGCACTAATCACTCTAGCCCAAAGAATTCCTGGTTCCGTCATCAGTCTCCATGCAATCTTTATCATAAACTCTTCATACATCCTAGTAGCACTTGAAAATTAATCCCAAACCTCATGCCTCCTTTGGATGATAAATAGTATTCCAGTCAACCAAATTTATCTTCCCACCTTGGTCTGAATTACCCCATATAAATTCGCGGATCTTTCTATCAATATATTATCTCACAGAGATTCAGGTAGGAAGGATGTTTGCATGGTATATGCGGGCAACGAGGACAGGACCGACTGGGCAAGAGTGATGCAAGCCTCCATGGCTAGAGACGACACCTTCCAGCCTGCAAGCCTCGAGTCAATTTGGTCAATGAGTTTTGTGAATGTGGATTTTGATACCCTATCATGGATAACAGGAATCCCCAGATATCATCCAAGATTATGGGTTTCGGGGATATCTAAATCTCCATGCAACACTCTACTCTCCGCTGTTGAACACATTCTTGGAAAAGAAAATTCTAGACTTCGGTTTGCTGACTTGTTGCCCCGAAGCCGCCACAAAATTTTCCAAGCATTGCGTTGTAACCTGAACTTGTTCCAATGAGGCCACACTGAAGAGTAATAAGTCATCCACATAGAACAAGTGAGATAGTGTTGGGCCATGTCGGGATAGCTTAATCGTCTTCCAGGCTCCATTCTCCACTGTCGCAGAAATAAGATCCCCCAATCGCTCCATACATAGTGTAAATATATAAGGGGATAAGGTAAATCTTTGTCGAAGACCTTGGGATTGAAGAAAAGCCTCATATCCATTGTTCTCGCATGGAAAAAATTGGTATTCCACCTCCACTTCAGGTTCCGTTGGAGTCACCGACTTGGTACAATAAAACCTAGATCTCTCGAAATACGTTCCACATTGCAAACATATCTTCTCCAGCCCTTCATATTGAATGAAGTATTTGTTATAACTGTGCTTCTACGGATCGGGAAATCGGAGGATTCGACAAAGCTTGAAAACGAAAAAAACATAAAGCACACGACAAACGATTTACATGGTTCACTAACACAATGTTTGTTAGCTAGTCCACAAACAGGAGAGAGCCAGTTTTCACTATATTAAGGAGATTACAGAGGAGTATGAGAAGGGACTGATATTCCGATTCAAGTCACATCAATAGTATTTCTTCCCATGGATTGTATTGAGATAGTCGTGATGATATCCACTTGAATACACACCCGGGCATAGTTGATGCAAGCTCCCGTGTTTTCGTAGCATGGTCTACCCTGATTGGTTTTCCAGTTCGCCTCCCGACCTTCAAAAATGCTTCAGGGTGGAAATATTATATAAGAATATCCAGCAATCGAGCCCGAACCAGAGTTGAGGAGATCTCATGATTATAAGGATCGAAATGTTTTGTCCAGGGGGTGGCATGTTAAGTAGTTTTCTCCCCACCAACCAGGGCCCTCCCGTCATCGCTCGTTCATAATCAATCTCGCTTGTGAAACGTACAAGGAAGTAACCGATTCTTTGTTGAAGTGACTTGGATCGATCTCGCCTTTGCCCAGATAATATTAAGTCTCTTTGCAACCATCGTGTCTGACACAGAGCTGCCCAGCATATTAAGTCTCTTTGCAACCTCGGCTGTTGAGTAATAGATAGGTGGACATGTGGGATCCCCTTCCGCCTCCCAGCCTGCATCCGACCCATCCTCACGCATCACTTCATCCAGTGGCGGAGCCAGAAATCTGAATGAGGGGGGCTAAAAAAATTTACGTTCAAAGGTTTGAACCGGCGAGGGGAAGGGCTAAAGTCTTACCACCTACTCTATTATCCAAATTTGCTGTGAAATTTACATGTAAATTTACACAATTTTGAGAGTTGAGGGGAGCTATAGCCCCCCCTGCCAAGAACGTGGCTCCGCCACTGACTTCAGCCATACCCTCTGAGCCGGAGTCCGCAATATACCATACATTAGTACGAAGCACATCACTGAACAAGAGTCTTGCTGCTCCCCCACCCAAACCCCAGGTGTAAGGATCGTCAATGGGAAATCTGGCGATTTAGATAGCTAATCTAACAGAATTAGTAACGTAGCTATGCGTCTGTTTATTCGGTAAAAGTTATCCAATTACAATTGAGGCACTTCTCTTTATACTCCTGCTTCCACTTTACACGTCACTCTTGCCATCTGTACAGGTTGTTACACTAGGCTGACGGCTGGGGAGCTCGTTTGCGATGTTTGTTTCTGGTTCCCGTTTGGGGCATCCTTCAGCATCTCGTCTTCTGTGTCATTGTTTTCTAGCTGCATCACCGTTGGTTTGGCTCGTTTCTTCGTATGTTGTGATTCTCGATCTGTCTTAGAGTTCGGCGAAGATGGCTCTATGGGTGGATGTCGCTGCCCAGCCATCGTCTCAGCCGGAGGAGGATCCTCGGAGCCTCCATCAGCCAGTGGTGAAGCCATCGCCGACATGAGTCCCGGTGAAACCCTAGTTTTAGTTCGTCAGGTGTCGTCGTTCCTAGGTTTGCGGAGCACTTGTCTCTCCTTCTTTGGTATCCAATTTAATTCACTGAACCGATTACATTAAAACAACCAAATTATCAAGCCAAAGTTTTGAGAATTGTGGTAGACATACCACTTAAATTTGAATAGGGATTCGGGTACCATTAAAGTTGCCAAAATGGGCATCCGTCTAGTTTTCTATCCAACCGAAACTTTTAATTACCTTCTTATATCCAAAACTTTTAAAAACTTTCGAAACTATATTTCAACAATTATTATCTAATATAAAAAATAGAAAACCTTCTAAACATACTATTACTAGATTGCTAGTGAATTGTTTTTAATAAAATAGATAAATTAGTAAAAATAATAAACGAATATCAATAAAAAATAATAAATACGAGAAAATTATTATTATTTAAAATAAATATTGGAAGATCTATTTAAACTTCTAATACAATTAGAAGCACCACTAAAAACAGATAAAGTAGAACCTAATCGATTATCAATACATCAAGACCAAAGAAGGAAAAAATGAAACACAGTAAAAAAGAAATAAACATATTCCGGTAATTGAAAAAAATTAAAATGAAAAGTAACCAAGTAATAACTAATAAGTAAACTATAAAAGTTACGACATTCAGTAACAAATGTGGGGAAAAAATATGAGAATAGGAATATAATTAAAATTAGTAAATTTAGCTAATATGAAACATCTACAATATAATATTAGATAATTACAAGGATATTTAACATGGAAAATTAGACAACATCAACATGATGTAAGAGAACTAAATCTAACATCCTCATATTATTTATATCGAGACAGAATTCCTAGAATATATTTGCTTCAAGAGATAATTCAATTATTGATAATTGAAAATATTTATATAGATAATTGATTCTAAATTTCCTATTCAAAAACTGATTGGGTGAAGAGAATTCCAGCTAAACAATAAAAATTATGTTTCTCATAAATTCAAAGGATTTTTTTAGAATAAGAAAAGTAGAAGTACTAATTCTTAAATTTAGAAAACATAATATTCTGTTAAATTTAACGGAATGCACTTGATTGTAAACTTAAGTGGTATCGGGTGCACCTATAATTGAGTTCAGCGGCACACGATGCCCTATTCTTACTTAGGTATGGCTTCTCAATTCTCATAATTTAGTGGTACCTGAGTTATTTTACCCCATTAAATTCAAAGGCTTATATATGCATACTTGAAGATTTCAACGTTCTTCATCCTCAATCTGCCTTTAGCAAATCAATCTGACATTTTTATTATGAAGAAATTATGCTGACCAACCAAGCACACCAGTTTTAATTTTCACTTGGTTCATT